TAATATGGCAATGTGTGGTATGGCATCCTGTGATATGGTGTGTGGCATGTCATTGTGTGGTGTGCAGTATGGCACTATGCAGTATGGCATTGTGTAATATGGCAATGTGTGGTATGGCATCCTGTGATATGGTGTGTGGCATGTCATTGTGTGGTGTGCAGTATGGCACCATGTGGGTGTAATATGGCAATGCGCAGTATGGAAATGGTGTGGTATGGTGTTTTGTCATATGCAATATGACATCGTTTGGTATGACATTTCTACTGTACACCGACTCTGCCTATTTTGGGGAATTAAACTTAATTAAATTATTAGTATAGTTTAGTCAATTGGGTTCCGGGTTACACTGGCATTCCTGAACTTAACTATAACCTTGACCTCGTAAATTTCACTGACTGTATCTGTGAAGTTGAGCTCCCTTCATAAACTATAATTGAACCACAGTCCCTCAGCCACAATTTTGAGGGACTGTGATTGAACTGAACGCTGACGCAATATCGTTCACTACATGTAGTTCTGTGGCTTTATGTTTTCCTGTAGCCGGCGGGCTTTCACGAAATAACCGGCGATAAAAAACGAACTACAGCGAAACAAAGAGAAATACATTACTGCAACTGGCTACATGTGTCTATACGCATCTGCGTAAATTAAATTTACTAACCGAAAAAGTTCAGTCAATTGGATCTCCCCATAGTTGTTTTTATGTCGCCGGTATGAAAGGACTTCTGCCTGTAGAGTTCCCAAAGAACCGACATCTTGGACTGAACCATTTACACGATAGGTGACAACCAATTTCATCGCACTGGGATTTTCATTTTTTTTAAATATGTATTTAATTATTACTTGTTCATATAATTTATTTTATTTATTTCATGGAAAAAGTTGTTTTAATCGCGAAATCCAAACAAGGTATGTAAAGATAGTTAAAATAATACAAAACAATATTTCTGTAGCAAAATAATAACAAAAACATTTTAAAAAAAATATAATAAATATATAATAAAATACAAGCAAAAACGTGTCATATTATATATAAGATTTCAATCATTTTGAGAGAAAGTGAGTTGGTACATATTGATATGATATGATGTTGGGCAAAGTTTCTAGAACCGACACCAGAGGGCGTAACGAGTCCTACCTGCTTGTTGTCAATATCACGTCAATATCACGTGTCTAGTAGTCAGTTGTCCAGATCCACATTTCACTAATACGTGTACTTGTCAATAAACAAACATTCACACACAGTCGACGTCTGTTCAAAATATATTCCTGCCAATGGTTAATGATGGCAGTAAATCAGCATGATAGATGCAGAGACATATGCAGATATTCCAAAAATTACACAGATTTTAGACAAATCTTACAATCTTTAACAAAATTTATATGCCGATTGTCGATATTCTGAAATCTTGCATTTTGTTCCTTTCGTGTGGTATATCATTTATTTTCATAAACTCTGTTTAGTAGAATATATATATGCACAATTTAAACAAATTACAAAATTAAATGTTTTATATATAGAATACTTTCAAAATAATTAGTGTACCCATCTTCCAATCTAACACATGATTTTAACTCCTTATACATACTGTTGATGACTTTGATGAACTTGTCACTCACCCCATCTCTGTACATTTTGTAAAACAGTCCATTCCTCCGAATTGTACCAAAAGCTTTTGCTAAATCCACAAAACACATATAAAGAGGCTGTGATTTTTTAATAATTTTGCCATTTTTTTCTAATTTTGTTGTGGTTATTCATAATAGACTTGAGAACAAATACATGATCAGAGGTCCTGCAGTCTTTCTTAAAGCCAATTTGATATTTAGATAAAATATTATAATTATTAAGGAACTTGTTTAGCCTGTTATTCAGAATAATCGAAAACAATTTTCCTAAACAGCTCGTTATTGTTATACCGCTATAGTTTGAAGGATCATCTTTGTTACCTGATTTATATATTGGTACAATATATCCTTTACTCCAAAGGGATGGGTATTTTTCATCTTGTAGTACTGTATTAACTATTTTGAGTAAATGATGTTTAATGAACATGAAACCGGATTTTATCATCTCGTTTGAAATGTTGTCAAATCCACATGCTTTTCTATTTTTCAATGTTTTAATTGCCTCTTTGACATCCTTTTCCATTATTGGTTTATCCAGTGTCATGTTGTGTACTTTATCTTTCATCTTCTCTAATTCCTCTAATTTCTTTATAATTGAACCTTCAAATTTGTTATCATAGTTTTGATCATTTGTAGAATTCAGTGTTTTATAAAAATTAAACCAGCATTCCGGAGTTATCAAATTGTCCATACGTTGTTTTCCTATTTTTTTCTTGTTGAATGACTTGATCAGATCCCACAAGTCTTTATTATTACAATTTATGTCTTTTAGATGAGCAATTTTTTTCATAATTTGAGACTTTTGTTCAATTGGCTTTTTTAAATAATTTTTCGCAGTGTTTTCTTGGTCGTACAGTATACCTTTCTCATGTCTAATTTCTTTGGATTTGCTTTCATCACTTTTTCTAAACGATTAACTTCATTTCGTAGTTCACTACATGTCTTATCAAACCATGGTTTATGTTCGCGTTTACATGTGGATGCTGATATGACCTTCAGTGAAGATAATACATAAACTATCAACAATCACAAAAGATCGATCGATCAATCAATTTTCCACCCACAATTCATATACTGATTTACAATTAATTAAATGGCGGTGGTCGTCGCGCAGCGCGTTGTCAAATGTATTGTACACGCGTTGTATACGTCGGTATGAGTCCCATAACGAGTAATAGGCAGCATGACGATCACCGACACTTTAATTATAGCCTTTAAAGATCCCTGACAGTACGATAAATTGTATCCAGATAATTTAGTATAACCTTTGACCCATGACAGTATTATCTATCTAATCATCTTGAAATTACTATCTATCTTTCTTGTCGAGTAAATGGTAACTGAGTAATCTGTCAGCAATGTACATCTAAGATGGTTGAGTTTACAGACATACCAGAATAAAATATTTCAACTAAACTAGACGACATGTATCAAGTACATTTATTAAAATGTGATCATATAAAATATTATTTTTATTACATGTGTATTAAAGGTAAATATCGATGATTCGGTGTAAATGTTTATATTACCTACGGAAGTGTTACTTGCCAGGGAATTATTTTGACTTTGCAGACAAAATAAGTATACATTAAACAAGTGTTTGATTAAAAAGTGACAGTAAATTGAAATGAATAACAGAGTGTAAAACATTATCGACAATTAATCTTTTATATTTATGCTATTTACATGTCATTACAGTTTATATACACATCAATTAGCTGAGATTTCCAGAGAATCTCTGAATGTTCCACCATTTTGGTATACACATTTATAAAACATGGAATATGAAGTATGAAGTAGAAATATGATGTTTTAAAACATCTAGTCACAACAAAAGTGAAATATATAAAACTAAAAATGGATTAGTATAGAGCGCCAGTCACGGGCGGTTTACATCGCAGCAGTATCCATTTCCCGACGGTACTCGGAGATGTAGTCACCGTGCTCCCCGATGGCTATTATCTCGTCCTGGGGTATAACAATACCCGGTCGTTTGTCCTTTTTACGGTAATATTTGTCCGTATATTCAGTCTGGCCAGCAAATGGTCCATCGTAAACACGCGGGGTTAGCTTTGGCGCGAAACTCTTAGATGGGCTTAACTCTTTCTGGGTATAATGCCTGTCGTAAGTCGAACTCTTCTCGAATGGAACATCTGAACGTTCGTATCGGTGCGTGTCGCTGAACGGTTCTGATGCCACGAATTCCCATCTTTTGAAATCATCCTTATGGGTAGTACTGTCTTCAAACTTACCCAGGTCCACCTGATCTGGAACTGGTGGGCGTACTAGCGCTGGCTTTTTAATTTCGTATCTTTTGTAGTCACGTGTATGCGTTGTCGTCTTTTCGGAGCTACCAGTTTGGTGCTTCCATTGCTCTTCGGGTATAATGATGGCAGGAAGATTGATTTTCCATCGCTTATAGTCTGTCTTGTGTGTTGTTGAATCTTGTAGCGGTTTTTCCGATTGGTAGGGGGCACGATCAGGTCGTATCATATGTACACGGGGAGTTGTTTTCTCTGTGTAGTCACTCCTATGGGTAGTCTTGTTTGCAAATTTAGCATTGCTCATTTCATAGTCATCTTCTCTGCGACTGAAACAAATACAACATTATAAGTTATTAAGATATATTGTGTATAGTATTGATCATAAATTAAATACGATAAGTAACCCTTATGTAATTTGCATATACAGGGCATATACATAAATAAGTTCGATACCATAAAACATACAAAAATGATCACGGAAAATCATTCAACAAGTTTTGTATGATCATTCACGTACATGCAAGTCGTTTATATTTTTACGGAGAAAAAAGGAAACTATTTTCAGGAAAACTTATGTTAAATAATATAAAAAGCGACCATTTAAAAACATTTCCCATATGATTCAATGTAAACACTTTATTCTATAGAAAACTTAAACTAATATTCAACATTTTCCACCATTACAACGTACCCCTCATAACACTACATGTCATTTTGATCATTGTTTGTATTATATCCCTTACACGGGCTGTACACCGAGTGTAATACTCATCTTGGGTTGTACACTGGGTATGATACTCATATAGGTTGTACAGGGTGCCATACTTACATGGGTTGTACAGGGTATCATACTTACATGGGTTGTACAGGGTGTTATACTTACATGAGTTGTACAGGGTGTCATACTTACATGGGTTGTACATGGTGTCATACTTACATGGGTTGTACAGGGTGTCATACTTACACAGGTTGTACAGGGTGTCATACTTACACGGGTTGTACATGGTGTCATACTTACATGGGTTGTACAGGGTGTTATACTTACACGGGTTGTACAGGGTGTCATACTTACACGGGTTGTACAGGGTATCATACTTACATGGGTTGTACAGGGTATTATACTTACATGTGTTGTACAGGGTGTCATACTTACATGTGTTGTACAGGGTGTCATACTTACACGGGTTGTATAGGGTGACATACTTACAAGGGTTGTACAGGGTGTCATACTTACACGGGTTGTACAGAGTGTCATACTTACATGGGTTGTACAGGGTGTCATACTTACAAGGGTTGTACAGATGTGATACTCACCTTGGGTTGTACACTGGGTATGATACTCATATAGGTTGTACAGGGTGTCATACTTACATGGGTTGTACAGGGTGTTATACTTACACGGGTTGTACAGGGTGTTATACTTACACGGGTTGTACAGGGTGTCATACTTACACGGGTTGTACAGGGTATCATACTTACATGGGTTGTACAGGGTATCATACTTACATGGGTTGTACAGGGTATTATACTTATATGGGTTGTACAGGGTGTCATACTTACACGGGTTGTACAGGGTGTCATACTTACACGGGTTGTACAGGGTGACATACTTACAAGGGTTGTACAGAGTGTCATACTTACATGGGTTGTACAGGGTGTCATACTTACAAGGGTTGTACAGGTGTGATACTCACCTTGGGTTGTACACTGGGTATGATACTCATATAGATTGTACAGGGTGTCATACTTACATGGGTTGTACAGGGTGTTATACTTACACAGGTTGTACATGGTGTTATACTTACATGGGTTGTACAGGGTGTCATACTTACATGGGTTGTACAGGGTGTTATACTTACACGGGTTGTACAGGGTGTTATACTTACATGGGTTGTACAGGGTGTCATACTTACACGGGTTGTACAGGGTATCATACTTACATGGGTTGTACAGGGTATCATACTTACATGGGTTGTACAGGGTATTATACTTACATGGGTTGTACAGGGTGTCATACTTACACGGGTTGTACAGGGTGTCATACTTACACGGGTTGTACAGGGTGACATACTTACAAGGGTTGTACAGAGTGTCATACTTACATGGGTTGTACAGGGTGTCATACTTACAAGGGTTGAACAGGTGTGATACTCACCTTGGGTTGTACACTGGGTATGATACTCATATAGATTGTACAGGGTGTCATACTTACATGGGTTGTACAGGGTGTTATACTTACACAGGTTGTACATGGTGTTATACTTACATGGGTTGTACAGGGTGTCATACTTACATGGGTTGTACAAGGTGTCATACTTACATGGGTTGTACAAGGTGTCATACTCACATGGGCTGAAGAGAATGTGATACTTACACAGGTTGTACAGGGTGTGATACTCACCTTGGGTTGTACACTGGGTATGATACTCATATAGGTTGTACAGGGTGTCATACTTACATGGGTTGTACAGGGTATCATACTTACATGGGTTGTACAGGGTGTCATACTTACACGGGTTGTACAATGTGTGATACTTACATGGGCTGTACAGGGTGTCATACTTACACGGGTTGTACATGGTGTCATACTTACATGGGTTTTTCACGGCGTGATGTTCTTGGTACATAGTCATCTGTGTACGTTGATTTGCCTTTGAATTTCTCACCACTCGCTGCCGGCTTAAAATCTGGTTTACAGCTCTCGTTTTTGCTTATCTCGCGTGGTATGTATTGTCGTCGATAGAGCGACTCCTTTTCGAATGGAACGTCTGACCTCTTATATTGAGTGTGGGGATTACGACCTCGTTCTGGTATATAGGTCCACGTTTTGAAGTCATCCCTGTGGGTTGTGTCGTCCTGGAATTTTCCAAGATCTACTTTCTCTGGTGTTGGGGGACGTACTAATTTTTCTTTCTTTACTTTGTAAGGTTTGTAGTCGTTTTTATAATTCGTCAGTTTTGCAAAGCTTCCTTCTCGTGTATCCAAGTTATTTGATGGTAAAATGAGGTCCGGTAAGCTGATGTCCCATGGTTGGTAGTCTGTTTTATGCGTGGTATCATTTCCCACTGGCATCTCCGAATGAATGATGTCCCGAGGTGGACGAATTGCTTGAGTTCGGGAGGTCTTTTTCGGAGTGTAGTCTCGTCTAAACATGAGATATAATAGTTAATACGAATGAACGCATTGGCGTGGGTGTATATATGTAGTGAAGCGCCCTCAATCATATTCCAATTACCATTTATAAAATGTGGTCGGTAACTGCGATGTGTGGTGGATTCGTGTTAAGGATTCTATATCTTGAATCCAGACGGGCAGAAAAAATGCGGAATTACCATTGTGTTCAACAGGTTTCAATTTTGCATTAGATTTGACATAGACATACTGTGACGTCACATTCATATATTTTTAATTAGTCCAATGAATTGATTTTTCAATTAGACCTCACGTGGTGCATTTCACTTATTCGTAATCAAAATGCGAGATTGACGTTCATCATCTCACCATCATTAGGTCACATTTGAGTATGATATATAATAGGATACGCCGTCACGTAATGTTCATATATGGGCATATATTATAATCGAGTTACTCACGTGTATATTGTTTTTTTGTTCAAAGGTTTGCCTTTGTACATCTTACTGTTAGCATACACAGGTTGGTTGACGTACATCGTCCCCGAATGGTTGCCATTGATGGTCGTCGTTGGCTCATAACAACCACTGAAACGAAAAAAAAAAATCATTTTCAACGTTTGTCCACTAAGTGACAAAAAACATAATCAGGTATTTCAGCATTTAACATTTATAATCAGCATTTAGACTCCCTAAAATAAGAGTTTTGATTTAATATGCTAAAACCATCAATTTGAAAAGTATAGAAGTTAATGGGAATTTGTTTTGGACAATACAAGACACTGAATTCAAGAACTGCGCCAAAGGACAAACTGTAACATCCATCACACATTGTTATGTAATATATTTTTGTTAGGTTTTGGAGTTTTACATATTGAGTTAAATTTCAGGGACGAACTACAAATGTAAAACTCCAAGTTTTCAGACAATCTGAGAATAAAGTTACTTAGTTTTTAACCATGTCATTTTGATATAACGTCCGTCACAAACATATTTCTGATTACCCCGGCCTCAATATGTTTTTCAAGCTAAGAATATTTCCTCATGGCATGAGTATCCTAGTGGCATAAGCAAATCTATAACACAGTGTCAAATTCCACAAGGCAATACTCTAACAATAAGGAAGACTGAAATATAACTTCCAGCCCCTCTGATTGTAACGTCCATCGCTGTGGAATTTCCCCATGGAGTATCTTGGGTTATATTTGACAGTGGAGATGTCTCCACTTAGATGCATGTGATAGGGATGGGTACCGACATGTTTGTTTCATTATTATATATGTCACGGACAAAAGCCAAAACATAAAATGAAAAATACTTTATAGCAAAATATTTTAAGTTTAGCATTACAATATACCCATTATATTTGGAATTACCTTAAAACATTGACTTCTTCTTACTTTTGTTTTAGACCAGTTGATTTATATAACAACAAATTAATCATACAACAAACTATTAGTAATTATTTACGTTTACATATGCCAGCAAAGTTTTTCTGATTAATTCCTGTTTCACCGCTTTAAAATCATGTCGTATAACTGTTTAAGCCCGTATAGTTTTTAAGGATTTGGTACGATTAGTGTTAATGAGCGGAACCACTTTTCTATAAATGAGCGGAACTACTTTAAATTTCCATAAAATGAACAGAACTACTTTTCTATGTATGCAATTTGTGTAAATATATACAGTACATCATTCGATGTGGTTGAAATGGCAGAATCAATAACAATAAAGAACATTTAAAAAAACAGAACCCAAAACAATTTTATATCTCGCATCAATTTACTTTTGCGAATTAAAATCCGTAAAATAACGCTCACACCAGGTGAGACAATTGAGCAGTACCACCACAGGACAACTAACTTCACACTATGTGACTTTCTCTCGGGAAAGTCATCGGCCATGTCAACTTTATCATTTAAATTACCCAACGACTGTGGTTGGGTAATTTAAATGATAAAGTTGACATGGTCGATGACCCAACCAAACTCTATCGTCCGCAAACTATGATAGCGGTAGCAGTATCGTCTGGCAGTAACAGTTGAGCGGGCAGGTTACCAAATGTGACCCACGTGTTATGTGGCAAATAACATTTACAGACCCATTGAAAACATTTTCCAGTTGATTTAGCAGCGGCAATGTTTCTATTAGTCTTACATCAAATTACGTTGAAAGGAATGTTTTCTTCTGTGATAATTCAAACGTTGGTCACGGATATTTCCAATATACTAGCTCCATGGATTTTACAGTTGGTCTTTTCAAATCAGGCTCTGCTATCCCCTTCCATTTAATTTCAAATACTCAAACCGCGTCCTTTCGTTCTCTGAACGCTGACGGTCGTAAATATTCAGCCGATTCAACCATACATGCTGTCCATGTAATGCCGACATACGCTCAATTTACAATACAAAAATAAAGGGTTTCAACTATATCAACACTGGTGCGCCCTCAACTTCAGGTGCTAGCATAGCTGCATATTTGACACCCTCACAACGAGTGTCAACAAACAACATAAAAGATTGTCTTAGTAACAGTCGAGAGAAGTCATATTGGTGTCAACACGTATTGCACTTACAATTTAATTAACCATGACAACGGTCACTTAGTTGGTTTAATCCCAATGTTCTCCCGCAGGGGTATTTGGATTTGACCTCAAGTAAAATCCGCCGTATTGTGTCGCCGCACTGCCTACGGTGTTATTCAGAGACTTATAGCTGATAAAATCATTCCTAGTAATCGCTGTCGAATACATTATATTTATTGTAATGTAATGTTGTGTTGCTATGGCAACTATTAAGCGATCAAATCATTGTAAAAAATTACCGCCATTAAGCGCACGCGTCGGCTTTGTGCGATAGGTTTGTGAGACGAATACATGCTTTCAATTACGCTGACCAAGCTGCTACATACATAACAAGGCCAACCTGTTTCGTATTTATTCTGAACTTACATCATGTTAGTCCAATGAAAATATGTGGTCGTGGCACAAGTGTTATGTTGTTCCTAATTTGTCACGTTGGATTCGACAACTAATATGCAAAATTAAAGTATCACGGGGTCGCTTTTAACAAGTATTTAGACGACCACCTTCTATCTATAATACAAATCATTGTAATCAATTAACTGACCCTGTCAGAAAGACATATAATATACTTAATATAAATGTAGGTGTCTCTTCACCCGAAATCCATCTTTGTGGACCACACTGTTTTCAGTACGAGTACCTGTTATATATTCTCTAATCTAAAATGCCAGATAATATTCCTCACTCTCTAACCATGAGTCTATTGGCATTTTGGGATTTAGTGGTTTTCTTTAGACAATTAATTTCCTATCGTTATTTATAATTATTTATTTGTAATTTCTCCATTTGTAGACATTTATGTTCAGATATATTGTGTCTGGCCTATATAACAATATAATAAACAATACTTTAATAAATAAATATATATTTTCAGTTATGTGTTTCAATGGTTATATACATACACTATGTTTGATATAAGCATATCAGGGCATGACTGTTTAAATGCCTGTTGTTCGCCTATTTTTACAATTATTTCTTTTACCTTGATATTCCTTAATTAAACATCGCATTTCAATCAAAACGTGTCGGTTGCCCATACTGAGGAATGTTGACAAATTAAATTACTTCTGTGTGGAACTTAATTTGCTTTATTTCACAAATTTATTTCCACGTCGGTTATTGAAAAGTCAATTATTGGGTGTCTGTGGGGGAGGGCGTTGTAACAATTTACAACCAATGAGTTCTTGTTGTTTTTCACTTTTTATGTGGTCTTTTTAGAAACCCGGGTAAAGCTGTCTCGCAGCTGAGTGAAACATCGATTAAACAAAGTATCGCGTTTTGTCCCTACGTGGAATTATTTACATCTTAGTATCTTGTATTTTTGTTTTGCTCATTTCGATTTAGGGGTGTAGAGGAGATTAGCGAAAATAACCCACGATTTTAATTCTGTAACGACTAAAACTATCCAATAAAATTATGTCCAATTTCCGAGACGGTATAACAGTATAATGGTGATTTCCTGTGTGTTACTCCTTATCGTAAAACACTTGTACTTTCACTACGGCGTGAAATGTAGCAAGTTGTAATACAATCTGACGGTTTCTGTGTACTATTGTGCGTCAACGTGACGAGACTGCGTCATAGTGAAGTGATACCTAGGTATTAGCCACACTAAAACAACATCGCTTGTATAACGTTTAGAACATGATAAAATGAATATAATTTTGACGGCTATATCAGTCGTCATATTAACACTTCATTCCCATGCTTACCAATTCCGATGCAATATATGGGTATAGCGCGTGCTGGCGTAATATGTTTGTCACTATTGTATATCTGTTTGTTTGATGTGATGGGTCTGTTAGTACGGAAACGTCGCCCGGGGCTACCGTTATGCTAATTAACATAGGTGAAATGACAACACGCGGCAAATTCGCGAATTGTGCATTTCACAACCTTATTGCGCATTTTACTTGCTTATTTCACTCTCATATTTTGACATATTATATTAGGATGGTTTTAATATTGTCCAAAAATGGTTGATTTCGAAGGTGAATGGCGGTCGCTGGTTTAAAGCGGCAATGAAAGATATGACCGTTTGCCATGGCGGATATATATAACGACAGGCGTATCAACTCAGCGATAGACGGAAAGATGAGACTAAAACAACAATGTACGCAGAACCTACCTATTTCTCTTCGACATGATTTTGCCGTGTCCAGATAAACGCCGTGAACGATGTTGCCAACTGTCGTTCTCTGCGTCTTTCCTGCTGTTAGTAGGTTGTGTATTCCAGCATTTATGTCGTGGCTGGTTGCCTCTTCATAATAGCAGTTGCCATGGATACTGAGGTCAGAGAGCCATTGAATCCGTAATCTGTAGAGCATCTCCCTTTCATATACGTTCTGTATGTCTACCACGTCCCTAGGCTTGTTGGTCATAAGACATTACTTCACACAAACAAACAAAAGACACATTGAAGTCGGGGTTTAAATGGCATTGATAAAAAGAATGTCCTCAAGCAGGCGATCTTTTGTTAGCATAGACTAAGGTTTGGGACCTTAACAATAGGTTATATACAGGACAACGACGTACTGGATTTGACAGTGATGTCTGTTACAAACATTTTATTCGAGCAAATTTATATATATATATATAGTTAGTTGTTTGTGAATTTAATCAAAATAAATTAAATTGATTTCGATGGTCATATTACTCATATATCTGGTTTAAGTCTAATTTTATTATAAATCAGAGTATTTGTCAGCCAGGGCGTTGTCACGAAGGCTGCCCACTTCACGTGTACGTTGAAAGCGACATGGAATCGATGTGTTTACGTTTGTTGGCTGCATTTCAATGTTATACAATGTGCGAACACTGATTGGGTCTCGTATAACTGTAGACAATATTTCTATTATTCGTATGAGTCGATTATGTACATACGTGGCGGTGAAAGGAGATCTACTTTACCTCAGTAAGGCGATATATTTGCAACTTAAGATGTATGGGGAGCAGACTACATATTAAGTTGTAATTGAAATTGAATGGAACTGGCAATGTATTGTTAACGAGGTCGTCTGTTTCTAAAAATCCAGGTGACAACCCATGACAACCTTTCTTTTTCCTAACTGAGCTGATTTAGTTTTATTACCCCAGGGGTGCAAATAGAAAATTAAGCGAGGTTGATACAAAATATCTATCACCATGGATACCACGTGGAACTAACTTGTATTTTGGATTGTTGGTGTAATTTTAGTTGTATTAGACAAAGTAGAGATTTTGCCACATGACGCAACACCTTGGTAATATTATATTCGAGTCAAAACCTTAAAGACGTACAGACAGAATATATCAAATTTGCATAAAGCTTTTGTGTACTTTGAGTCTGCGCAATAGATGTCAAGCAAACTGACGAAGTTATTAAAAAACACATTAAATTTAATGGCTGAGAAAACCTATACAAAACTTATCGCCTGTTTATACAATTGAAAAAGAAGCGTATTAAAATAACTTATGCACGCATTGTAACGCCCAATGGAAACTATGTAACAATTGTTACACTTTCTATACGCAAAGGACGCTTCGAAGTAACACAGTGAAACAACAATGAAATTGATATTTGAACAAGGTTTTGATATTTAAAAAATGTTATTCTCTGTCACGGTTATTCTTGAAAAATCGCCAGTTAGACTTGCATACAGGCCCTTGTTTATTTTTTTTTCAATAAAATAAAATATTATGTGCAAATGACGAAAGCCGAGTTACCGCGAAATAACCTTGTGATACTAGTACATGTAGTATATTGAAGACCTTGAGACAATGGTTTTATTGAGGCATTGTAAAAAATTCTTTATAAACCTTCAACGATATGTTTCAAATGTTTACAAGAAACTGAACTGTGACGTACGGGGTTTCTATATATGATACGAGTAAATGTAACAATTTCAGTCATGCGCAAATAATCACAAATCAATTTATAAACCCAGGCCACATCATGGGAAGATTCACTGCTACGTAAAACTTTACATATGCTACTAAAACTGAATGTCCTGCTAATGCGACACAATGTATAGAATAAAAGTTGGTATACCGGCGGCGAAATGTTGGTTAGCAAGTTGCTAAATCTAAACGGAGATGGTTAGTAAAATTATTCTGACCAAAACACCTCTGACAGAAATGAATTTTTATTTTGTCGGATTTGGTTGGAAACTCAACTAAACAAACTTTACTAACTACTAGTATTTACCTAAAGTTTATGGAATATAAATGCTTTCCTATAACGTATCATAAGTACATGCTAAACATAGAATTAAAATAACTTAATACATGTATATCCCGGCTCACCTCAACTCCTTTAGATCACTTAATTGTTATATATCGACCATTATGAATTGAAGACGTGATGCCCTCAATGAATCAATATGGGATAATATTACAACAGTACTTCATTACTTAAAAACACAAACACCTTTATTCGACCTACACGACCTCGGTATATGTATATACAATATTTTAATAGGTACGGTTGTAGGTAGCATCATCAACAAACAAACATTATAAAAACTACTCAGTATGCTATTATGGACGGCATCGATTTACTCTGGACGGCATTGAGCTACTCTGGATGGCATCGAGCTACTCTGGATGGCATCGAGCTACTCTGGATGGCATCGAGCTACTCTGGATGGCATCGATTTACTCTGGACGGCATGGAGCTACTCTGGATGGCATCGAGCTACTCTGGACGGCATCGAGCTACTCTGGACGGCATTGAGCTACTCTGGACGGCATTGAGCTACTCTGGACGGCATCGATTTACTCTGGACGGCATCGATTTACTCTGGATGGCATTGAGCTACTCTGGACGGCATCGATTTACTCTGGACGGCATCGATTTACTCTGGATGGCATCGAGCTACTCTGGACGGCATCGAGCTACTCTGGACGGCATTGAGCTACTCTGGACGGCATTGAGCTACTCTGGACGGCATCGATTTACTCTGGACGGCATCGATTTACTCTGGATGGCATCGATTTACTCTGGACGGCATCGAGCTACTCTGGACGGCATTGAGCTACTCTGGACGGCATTGAGCTACTCTGGACGGCATCGATTTACTCTGGACGGCATCGATTTACTCTGGATGGCATCGAGCTACTCTGGACGGCATCGAGCTACTCTGGACGGCATTGAGCTACTCTGGACGGCATTGAGCTACTCTGGACGGCATCGATTTACTCTGGACGGCATCGATTTACTCTGGATGGCATCGAGCTACTCTGGACGGCATCGAGCTACTCTGGACGGCATTGAGCTACTCTGGACGGCATTGAGCTACTCTGGACGGCATCGAGCTACTCTGGACGGCATCGATTTACACTGGGTGGCATCGAGCTACTCTGGACGGCATTGAGCTACTCTGGACGGCATCGAGCTACTCTGGACGGCATCGATTTACACTGGGTGGCATCGAGCTACACTGGTCTTCGTCGAATTATACTGGACGGTATATTGTATATCGTTCAATACATTACCGTAATCCCGGGTACACGAGATGAGGAATAACTTGAATGCTCTTTTGTTTTAATCTACATGTAATGGGAGCAAACGAACAGAATTGTAATATGTGACATGACGTATATTATGCAAATAGCTGGACATTATAGTTTGTATAATATGTAATTTTCCTACCATATCTTGATATTATATAAAAGTGAACATTGAAATTTGTAAATATTTATAACGACGAAGAGAATGCCTTTGTTGTGCTGAGAGTAGATTAAACAAAAAAACACAAAAACGTTTCTATATACATTAGATATAAACACACTTTAACATAAATAAAATGTTTATCAAATGCTTCCAAATTATGAAAAACTATAGGTAAATATTATGCTCCAGTCTTCTGTGAATATGTATTATCTAAAACAAAATACCAAACTTGCTGCAGTCTAGTCGAGTGTAGCAAAGCGTCGACACGTGTAGTGTAATTATTTCTAAATAAAATTGACAGCGGCCATAGTTAAAATAACGCACGTTTTGTGACCGTCTAGTTATTAAAATTATCGTCGTTATCGGGCCAGTAGTTTAGGGATGTGTACCGGGGTTACGTAGTTGTTTTTCATTTACAATGTGGCAAATCCCTTAGAAATATAACAAATTTGATTTGAAACAATAATGTGACAGACATTCCTTTTACCACACTGACGCTACGAAATACGTCGTTAGAGGGGGCGATCGACAGGAAAAGCTTTGTTAGATGACGAAGAACTTCTTGTTATTTAAGATGAATCTTGCAATGAATTTACATGTACCTGTTGAATTTAAAAAATGGAAAATGTGTTCAAGTGTTGTTGTTTTTTTACAATTTTTTTTGCAGATTATTTTTCTTCAACTTCCATCATCTTCTCAAGCTTTTCTAATAATCGACTTCCAATGAAATGAGATACACATTTTAATAAACTTGTCAAGGTGAAACAGTGAAGTGCACAAAGCTGGGGTTTTGTTTATAAACGTATTGATAGAAAATCGTAAATGTTGATTGGCTCAAAAGTTCAACATTGTCTGTACCCATAATGCACACACATGCTCTTAGAAGACATGACAACTGTGACCTCCCACAAAATGGAGGGTCTCTGACTTTATGATGTTGAACTAACTCTCACTTGATTTATAAAAAAATATATTTATAAAACGTTTATAACATCCCCAGGTTAATGCCTTTCACTGTGTCGAACCATTAGATTGGCTATAGCGTTGCTAACGTTTAAGTGTTCATGCAACCACAACTTGTGCTGGGACAGGGGGTGTAGTCGCATTGGGTGTGTCTGGTAGGATAGATGATTCCACCTCGTTTTCACCATACTCCATAACAAAGCCACCGTATCCAAGAGGTTTCATCGATGTTCTTTTTTGTGACTTTCGGTGAATGAACTCATTTTTGTACAGCGTGTTGGTGTCGAACGTGTCGTTCGTGTTTGTCAACTCGTTTGCTTTCGGAACTATAGCCTTTCGAACGGAAATCGGTTTGCGGTCATATTCTCGTTGATAACTGCTCGACTTGGCGAAGGGTTCTTCCGGTTCTGTGTAGGGTTTCCGTGATGGATTTGTAGCTTTTACAGGCTGATGACTTTCGTATTTCTGAAAGTCGTTGCTGTAATTGGTCGTACTATCGAATACTCCCACATCAGTTTTAGCTCTGGTCGGGGGTTTTGCCATAACAATCTTTTCGAGCTTGCGTGGGGGAAAGTCACGTGAGAATGTAGTCTCCATTTCCATTGTACCCTCTGGCTTACTGTACACCTCAGCTTCGTGTAGTTTCGGAAGTCTGACGACATGCTGCGTATAGTCACTTTTATTTGTGGTCTGGCCATCAAATGGTTCCCCACTATGCAAAGGCTCATGGGAAGGTTTAAAACTACTCTGTTTTGTTATTTGCTTGGATGTGTAATCACGTTTCGACGTTGTCATGGATTCTATTTTTGGCAGCGTGCTACTGCTCTGCATTATCTGGTGGTCTGGTCTTAATCTGAAAAGATAAAATATGAATAATTACAATGGTTTATAACATAAGTCAACATATTACCATGGTTTATGTCAAACACTACGATGACAGTTTCCGTTTTCGACATTGTGAAATTCTTACGTGTTTATGCAGAAAAAGACTTTCATTCAGCTTTTTTCAGTCATAATTCAAGACAAATAAAACGCCAGAACATAGAGAATATAAATATAGCAAATTGTTTTTTTTTCTGTAATATTTTTGTATAATCGATAATTATGAAAAATGTCATTGGTGTGCATATGTAGTACATAGCGTTATGAATTATTCTTAATGTATTTTCTTGTCAAAATCAGTTGTTTCCAAGGTTTTCCCTCCAAAATGAAAGAAGTTCACAATGTCGAAAACGCAAGTCCTTATCGTAGTGTTGTCAACATAATATCTAGTAACAGTTTTATCAAACATGTGTCATGTCACAGTAAAAGGCATAAAGCCATGGGTGTTATAAACATTTTATAAATATACATTTTTATAAATGTGGGAGGTCATAGTGGTTATGTCACGTGGTGGCACACGCGCGCATTATTTAACTTTTGAGACAATCACTACGAACTATTTGAAATTGAATGAAAGATGATGATCGTCATTTACATTTGTTTGTATAAATATGTTTATAGGACCAGCTTTGTGTCTTTCACTGTATGTCATTAGAATTCAATATAATATAAATGTTTACTTCTTTTTGCTGCGATCACTTGATTTCAGCTTTTTCTGTGAGTATTCTTCATTGTAACTGGTCTCTCCATGGAATTCCTCTTCTTCTTTAAGGGTTTGTTTTGGAGCGAAATTATGACGAGGTTTGGCTTGTTTCTTCTTGTAATTGGTTTGGTAATTGGTTTCTCCACCAAATAGCTCTGTTGGCTGCTCATATGGCTTGCGACTCGGATCCACACCGATTTCACGCGAGTGTCCTTCCCAATTTCGGAAGTCTTCTTTGTAGTTGGTTTGATCGTAAAATGCACCAACCATCATTTTGTTGTCGGATGATGGTTTCTTAGCAACTACGCGATCGACTCGCCGTGGAGGGAAATCTCGTTTGGAGGTAGTTAAGGTATCCATTTCACCGACTGGTTGTTGGTATACCTCCGCCTGGTGTAGTTTAGGCAACGTTACATGCCATTTCTGATAGTCAGATTTGTTGGTAGTTGCATCTATAAATGGATCTTCGCTCTTCATGGGTTCTTGACTAGGTCGACAGCTTCCCATTTTGTTAGCTTTCTTTTCGGTGTAGTCGTGTTTTGATGTCGTCATTGCGTCCATTTGGACCGTATTCCGAGTATACTGGGGTTTTTCTCTTACATGTTTTGGTGGTATTGGATGCACCACGTAGTCTAATCTATGAGACGTGTTCGTATCGATTGGTTCGTCTGATTGATCTACTTTCTGCTCTGGCTTCATCGATTTCACTGGAGTTGTTTTTTTCGCTTGGAAATCTCTTCTAAATGTTGTTGTATTTTCCAGTGGATCTTTGGAAGGTTTGTATTCGTCGGGTGCTTTGAATACTTCGCGTCTACCCACCTCCCACTTTCGATAGTCAGCTGAAAGATACAATTATGCATACTTTAAAACGGCATTATCAAAACTATCATTAAAGGGCGGAGGCCGTCGTGTCGCGCATGTGCGACATTAGTGTTGATAAACATTAATTTCCCCCAATCCCAATGTGGTCTTCTAATGGTAGTCAAGAGTACGAGTTTTTACCTTGGTGCAACTTGCACTAATAACCATCGGTGACTAGTTAAATCCTAGTAATGTCTCGCTCTCGTTGGTCTAAGCAACAGTCAAAGTCGCCATCTTTGTTCACATGAAAACCACTGCACAACACGCGCATACGTGGTGCGACGGCCACCGCCCTTTAACAATGTGTTTAATAGACCTTCACAGGTTCAATACACGTGAAACTTTATCAACGTTATTTGAAACCTTGGATAAATTATTCATTAAACTTTTAGATGGAATTGGTAATGTTCACTAATTATGCATAAAAATCGTCTAAAACTAATTGGCTACCCATTTTTGGCAAAACTGCGAATTTGATAACTCCCCAGTAATATGTATACCTTTATGCACCATTGATACCCAATGTGATTAAAATATAGGTCAACAAATTTGTCTAAATTAGTTCGTTCACAAGGTTCTTTGTAATAACATATACTACCCTTCATATAACGAAACAATACTCACCTTTGTATGTGGGATCGCCACTAAACTTGGCCGGTGAAACCAGTGGTTTGCGTTCATTTTGTCTTACAAATCTGTTTGGATCGATCTGCTTGACTGAGTATTCACTATCGTATGATGTACGTAAGTCCATATCGCCTATGTTTGTCTCGATCTGGTCATTTCGATAGATTGGGGTTGGTTTATCGATTTTATACGTTTTAAAATCGTCCCTGGGTGTTAAAGAAACATATTTTAGTATATAGTGTTGACGGCCCGGGTAAATATAACCTTGTCTTTTTCACTGTGAAGTTGGTAAGTAAACTTCAATCGCAATAAATTTATATAATTCAAACCATAAATGCTTGGTAGCGTTGTCTTGGCAACACCAAAGCTACAAGTGACATGCATAATATTTTATAGACAGATTATGTCAACAACATTTGATACAAATATCATTTGATAACAACTGTGTATATCCACGTATATGTTTTATTCAATGGCACAACTACGAAACACATGCATGGAAAGAACTCACTACGTGCAAACAATCAGTTAGGAAACACTAATCAGAAATACTATTATAAAACTACTTCGGTGCTAATCAAACAAACAGATTCTGATACAATATGACCAATGTGCATTTAGGATGTTACCTGTGAGTTGTGGTACCATTCATTATACCGCCCTCTGTCGTCAAGCAACCAGTCGGCTTAAAACTTTCGTTTTTACTTAGTGGATAACTTTTGTACATCGTATTATACTCTGTGATCGCGTGGAAACGTCTGCGCCGTGGTCGCCGAGAGTCAGCACTGCGATTAAAATATAAGAGAAATTAATTAAAACGAGTTAACCTCACCTATGTTTAATAATACATACTATTGTAAGAATAATTAAAAGTGATTGGCAGTATATCCGGGCATTTGCGCATGCCCAGTACCCTGTTGACCAAATAAGCAAACAACAACCCTATCGTTGTAGCTCTAATGAGATACCCATTTGAAAACTGCGGATAAATTTGGTTTTATGCAAATATTTTATAAATACCCGTATAACGACATTTTTTATTTACATTTCCTTCAATATTTTGTATTACACAGCTATTGTGCATTTGTTTTCATCTTTTCCTTCAACGATTTATTTTTCGTTTTCAAATGGCGAGTTCCTGAACACCCAAACGTGACTTTCAGATACTTAGTATACTAGTATGCGATCTCATGACTGAAACAGAATACTAATAGAACGATCTGAAACAAGATAGATAGACGGATGCGTAATACAAGAGACTAACTAGTACGACGTTTGACAAATCGACAGTTTTGTAACCATACGCCACGATACTAGAATACTAGTTCACACTAATTGTCAAATGTTATAATGCACAATGACTATCAAAATAATTTGCAGAAGGTATATCGGATTCGTCACGGTTTTAGCAAATATTATATGTCGACGCCCTCTGTTGACAGCGCGTGTTCCGCGTCACACGATAACAATAATAACCGTGGTGATTATTCAACTGGTGTCATAGTTAGGTTTTTTGTTTATAATGTTCTCTTTTCACAAAATATAACATATAATGGAAAATAACCACATCTCGTACAAACTTATTGGGAACAATGTCACAAAATATAAAATAAAACTTGTGTTTCTTTTGTGTATAGCATGAGGTGACCCCGCAAATAGTGGAATTAACACATGTTTTATGTTGCTTGGGATGCCATGGCAACCATAAACATACTATAAATTTACTTGATATAAAAGGTGAGTGGCCATTTACATATATATTCTAATACACCATTAATTCATGATACAGAGTATTAAGTAGTCACGTGACATGTGTGACGTCTCCTCATTGTATCGACTTTGACCTATGACGTACGTTCTGTATCTCTGACTTATTATAATAAATCAATTGAATTTAACCCTCAAAAGAACAATAGATAGGCAAATGGCTTTATAGCAATACAAATATTCGCCTTACTAGTGCTTAGACCTATAATATAATTAAAGAGGGCATTGAACAACTATTTAAGACTCATAAATCTCCTTATATCATGTACCCCCGATATACTTCCACCCATTGTTATGACAAAGACATGTGTCCATTTCTTCTAATCTTAGTTAGAATGCGCAGAATCGACTGAATTCCTTCCGTTCAACACGTTGCTAGTCGTTACAGGTGGTGATGGGTGTTTGATAGATTCCAAAGATTGTTTTCAGATAAGGTGGTATTGATTAACTGACATGGAACCAAAAAATACAATTGACCTAGATTATGACCTCAAAGCACAATGTCACAAATAGATCGCAGAGATCGATATGTCCACTTGGTTAAACAGACTATTTGTGTAACACTGGATATACTTAAGAGCGTCTCAATTCTGTACAAATACTTTATTAAGTTGTCTAGTACCTTTATTGAGTTGCCCAGTACAACCGTAATCCACAGTGAACGCGCTGACCACGTGATCAACTTGAATATGAATTGTGGTCCTAGTTTTGTAAACATGTCAACGCATTGAATGTATCTGAGTTAATCTTTGATACACCAAAAAAACAACTAAAGTTTGCAAAAAGGTGGAAATTCAATCAGCCAAAATATAAATTAATGAACCAACCCTGGATGACGCTGGTGAAGGATCTCAACAAATTCCCAATTATTTGAAAAATAAGTCTGATTCATTCATCAGCTTCTAAGAACTGATTAGTTTAGTAACTGATTTAGTAACGGATTAGTTTTGGAGTTTTGGATTCAGAATTAATCCTCAGCGCGCCACTCATACTGCTAGATAGAGATTGACTTAGATATAATGTACACATATACTCAATGGGTGGGCGAGGATATGTAACCTCTAAAATTCTTGTTGAGTCATTCCAAAACCGCTGTTGGTTGGGGTGAAATGTTTAATTAATACATCGTTTTCACTTGGAAACGACATCTTTATGTAGCCAAACATAAGAAAACAAGAAATAAATCCTCACATGGCATATTTGAATTAAGATCATCTAAGACTAATCGTCTGAAACAATTCCCATTTATAAATGTGTTTCGCCACATCATTTATAATGTTTTTATCCTTATTGTTTAAAATGATAATTAATAACTCTTCCATTGGTGAATATTTTCAAATCGGAAGTTTTTCGATATGAATACGATAACAAAGATGTAAAAATCGTATTTCAAACTAAACACTTATGATGATTTGTTTCGATATTTAATTAAACGTATCACGGTGAGACTCCTCTCTACACCAGTTCGAGTTGTCCAGGTTTATGTATCTGCTGAAACTGAGATCTGTAGAATGGAATATGGATGTGTCGCCAACTCTTTCTGACCACTATCTTTTTCAGAATTCAACAAGTTTTTCACTTCAATTCTCTGCGTCCCAAGCGGAACAAAAGTCAACAGCTTCTTTACAAAGCCTTCAGCCTTCACAGTTCATTTTATTTATTTATTTATTTATTTATTTATTTATTTATTTATTTATTTATTTATTTATTTATTTATTTATTTATTTATTTATTTATTTATTTATTTATTCGTTCATTCATTCATTCATTCATTCATTCATTCATTCATTCATTCATTCATTCATTTATTTATTTATTTATTTATTTATTTATTTATTTATTTATTTATTTATTTATTTATTTATTTATTTACTTATTTGAGACCCGTATTATTGACATTATACACCAACGATCTTTAAAATATTAACGACTTTTAAATTTAAAGTGCGTAGCGTTTCCTTGTTTGATTTATAGTTCCCTTAAACGACAAGATTGTTTACTCTAATTCAAGTAGTTAATAATGTCAGAGTGCAAATCAGAATTGCGTACAGTTCTCCTGTAATATATTTAGGCGTCACTGAGTCAGGTGAACTTTTATCTACGATAATTACTCAGGTAATGATAACCACTCGAGTCGGATTCCACAATTACCTGCCATATTTTGTAAGTTATGGCGGGCTATTTAATCAGTATACGACTTTGTGGCATATAATCATATTAGGATAAAATAATGTTGTTTAGGTTTCACCTTTACAGGGTGTTCCAAGTCCGAGTCTGTAATGGCTTCGTATGACCGTGCCAACATATTTGGTTAACTATATGACGACCACAAAGTGTCACGTAGACAGTGGTACATTAGCACAAAATGAGTTACTGGACTGAACAGGTGCCAGGTCAGTTGATTGGGCATATTGTCAGACTAAACGACTCAGGAAACACAACTACATGTATATATGTGCAGGGTCGTGAATTGGCGTATAACCAGTCGAATACAGCAGGTGTGTTTGTTATCGACGTAAATTCCAAAGTACTTTGGCGAGTCATGACATCGAGACCGCGCTAACACCCATGGAAAGACTCCATCATAATGAAGTCGGAGAAAAGACTTTGCTCACTACTGGTAGAAGTATACACTAACAAGCAATAACTAGTAATACTTTGCTCACTACTAGTAGAAGTATACACTAACAAGCAATAACTAGTAATACTACTACCAATGTGTCGACAATAAACGACAGTTTACCACAAATACCCGTAACATTTTGGTCTCAAAGAACGTTTAATGGTTGAGGTTTAAAATTTAATTCAAAAGTGCATTTCAGTCAATTGATTTACTGATGTTTGTATTACTGTATTGACACGTATTTTAATGATTTACTGATGTTTGTATTACTGTATTGACACGTATTTTAATGATTTTCATTGAAAAGCGGTCCCAGATTTGATTGTGACCTCCTTCCCCGCTCATAAAAACATTGATCGCTCCCTTGAACACGACTAAAGTCTGGTCCGTCAGGTGAAGGTTACGAAGTACATTTCTGTTGTAATTTATATCACACATATTTGTATACATGGGCGGTATTTTAAGCATGAACCTTGGCTTGGGGCAACAGGTGGTTCGCAGGGATCTGGTGGATATATTTCAGTATATATGTAGAATAAGCCATTAATATATAACATACAAATTTTTACCAGCTATTCACTAAAGATGGTAGTCGCCATTGTGTTGAATTGTATGTTTTTACAACCCGGAAACTAATTAGAGTTTTGTATACCTGCACAGTGTCTAGCAATAAACATGTGGTCAATTTCAGCATACAATAGATGTTGACAATACAGTTTACAAGTTGCTTATAAATACAGAATGTTAGTGTAAACTGTGAGATCAGACGGAGACTGGACGTACGAGTGACGTTAATTGTACTCTGCATGGTTTTTTATACGGATGACTAGTTCAACATACAATACACGTCGGTGCTAAGGTCCATTTCATCATCCATGTTATTGTAATCAATACCATGGCAACGACTAGTGAATTTGAACGTGACCACTCGGTAGAGCTATGTGGTATTTTTAGGGACTTAGTTAAATTTATAAATTCTGGTAAAAGCTAAAGTTGAAAAAGTTGCAATCATTTGTGATACATGTATTGAATTCATTCGTACTACCCTCGATGGAAACAATTGTCTTCAATTTCCCCCCTGGGGAGTATCATGTATTGCAAATAGCCAGTAGACCATGACGACATATAAACTGAACTTATTTTCTAGAGTCGACATGTGATACGGCTGTACGCGACAAAAACACGCTACTACTTGCATTTTCAATTTGCAAGAATAAATAGTTCGTAATATGAAGTTAGCAAGAAACAGAAAGAATTGTAACCATGGAAATAATTTTGTACAAAAAAGGCATGTGTTGTGAAATTCGTCTACATAGCTGCATCAAAGGACGGCAGTGAATGCGTGTTGCTATGTGACAAATCCACATAATATCGTCTTACATTTAAACCCCCGAGATAAACTCAACAAACCACCCAAAACCGCCTCGTGGTTTATACTTCAATAGAAACACTTCGAAGACAGATTTGGTCAACAATTCACATTTAACTCATTGCATTTATGGATATATGATTTCCGTTCTTTGAATAAAATCATGGACATTGACAAAATAACACCATGTTGTAATGTGAATGTAATTAACATGAAGTGAGTAGCATACCTGTTCTTCTTCTGTCGTGCCATGTTTCAATGATTTACAGAGGCGAAGCAAACAGGTGTGTGGTTGTTCAGACTTTAACGTGCATACTGTGTCATGTCGATACCCAAAGGTAATAACTTAGTCAGACTTAAGTATGATCCGGGGTATACTGCTATTAGGGGTCAAAGGTTTCGATATTGATCCAGTCGTGGACATATTGAGTCGTAAAACACACCCACTGTCGCTAAGACAACAAACCAACCCATTCATAGGTGGCAGCGTTGTCGTATGTTTCGCATATGCATATACTCGTATAATTTAAATTGGACAAAACAAAGTGGAATATATATATATGATTCAATTCATGTGATAAAAATAATCTATATTTGAACCATGATATATTTGGAATCTTAGTGGCAAATACAATACTAGTAACATTACAAAGCAGTAAAAAAGTAAATAAAATGAATTTTGAATATAAAATAGAATTACTATATTGTAACTAACCACAGTTTTTATTCCACTCCATCATGATTTTCAGACTATAACGTTGGGTGAGGCAGATCATATTTCGGGATTGCATATTTCAAATGAACTTGAATGCTGCTAATTATGTGAGTGTTTGGTTATTTCGCTGGTTACGGACTGTTTTCTCGCTATCCACGCATTTTCACAAGCCCAAATACCTCTCAATAGACTCTATATAGTGAGTTCTAACAACATTACGAAGCCTGAATGCCTCTTTAAGGTGGATGTGCTTCGATTTATTTTGAACATTAAAGTCGCGTATCATTTGACACCAGTTGGCGGTACAATGATATCCAGTATTATGCAGATTGCTCATAATTTGATAAGAAAAGAATATATATAGTTTCTAATTGTTATCATGGAGAACTTTAAGTTTCTCGATCATTTTCTTGTTATCTGGTAGTCACATTGTCTGTTTGACCCGTATACATTATTTGATTACTTTATTCCTAGTGCCTGATTAGGGGATTTAATATTCATAGATACGATCGTTTTATTAAATGGAAGTTGATGAAAGATTAAATACATGCGATAAGTTGAGTCAATTTGAAAATCATAAATCTAGGTTAGCTTTATTATCAGCTTTATTAAAAAGATTCAATGAATGCAACCTAAATGAATAACCGTGACGTCACGGTTTTTAAAACGTTTTCCGACAACGAACACTATTTATTAACCATTTGATTTCTGACATGTAGGTTCGGGATTGTAGAACATACTTGGGTAAATGTTTGTATCTAATGTAAGGACTGCTCTATTGTGTAAATTATGCATTGCGTCATGACATACGTCATACGTTGCGTCTCCAAACACGTGGTCGTAATGGGTACCGTCATATACGTTTACTATTCCAGGATGGGACTTGAATTGGGAAGTTAATTATGGGCAGTGGCGGCGGCACCGTTGGGGCAGTATATACGGGTCGTATGGGCGTCGCCCCCACGATAAAATAAGGTGAAACACTCATCTATATTTGTCACTAAAATTCACCGCAAATGTCGGTAGAAATGCAAAATCTTCGCCCCACAGTCAAAAAAAGCTGCCGGCGCCTCTGATGGGCGTGCCCGAGGTCTGTCAGTTGGGACCACAGCTGCCGAAATAATTTAAAGTCTGTGTTCAGCTGATTATAGCACGTAGATAAGCCAGTAAAATTGGAGGCCTCATATAATACAAAGAACTCACATTAAACAATGAGGGAATTGTACCCGAAATGATATGACTAATTTACATTAAAATGTCTGAAACATCCAATTTATGGTAGTGAATATTACTCTTTTTGTTACATTTTGACAATTATGGTTCCTAATGCTTCACTGTATTCTACCACTGGATATTTCTATACAGGAGGGTGCATAACAACTGTTTTTGTGAGAAACCCTGAGGGCGCTGCAACAACGTTGTGACTAGCGATAAAGCTCTTTTATTTACAACTTTGGAGCTGACTAAAATTGAGTCACAAAAACATCTTTCTCTCAAACTCAATGTTTAGAAACCGAAAGTACAGTATCCATCTATTTCAATACAGCCAACATGCTAATATGCAAACCCCAAACAGTTATATCACCATTTCTCACACTATGGTTCTTTATCAACATTTTATCGCTTTTTAAAGATTATATTGATAATTGCTTATATTGTACATCCTTTTTCAGACATTTGGGCTTCAACAAGGATCCCATTAGAAATTCATATACGACTTTTCAAGGGACAGAGTGGGGCAGAGAGGGTGCATTGTTTTGGTTAATGTTTATTTTTTCAGTTATATAAAATATATATGATATATGTATGGTACAATAAATCAAAAAAGAAAAAAATAGAAAAATACATACAGAGGGATTCCTTTAAATAATTGTTGAATCTACTAGTCACAATTGGTTAAGTAGATTGTCTCTGTGTTTAGAAGCGTAGAATACAAATTTTGAAATTTGAAGTACAGATAAGTTGTCAAAATGCATTAAACGAAGAAATTTTTGGTAAGTCTGATTTGACAGATAAAATATAGGTAAATATTTTTTTTCTAAGATTTACATAACGTGGACATACCAGACAAAAATGGTATTCATCCTCAACCAACCCTAAATTACATAATTTACAGATTCTCATATTCCTCCGTATATGTTTAGTTTACGATCAGATTCAATCCGAAGGTTGTGGGATGATGTTTTAAGCCTACATAGCGCAGAACGTAACTTGTTATATAAAATCAAATAAATCGTTACAGTTACGTGAAAGTTTAAACAAAAGCAAGGGTAAATTAAAGGTCAATAATACTCAGTTCTAGTCTCTTGTTGCTGCCCAGGAGCCTGACGAGCCGCTTGTTCCATGGCATAACAAAATCAATACAAAAAACATGAATGGCAGCTACTGTAGACGCAGGTCAAACTGGAAATCAAGTTTATGGCCAACATGTTTCTGTAATAAAATAGCCACACTAAAAAAAAATGTTGGTTGATGATGTGTTTGGCATAGGTAAGTACTATGTCAATGTCAATAGCTACTGCTTTTGTTCTTGGCTCATTTTCAGACAATTACTAATCAACATGATAACAATTTACTCCAAAGATAAATTGTTGGTATTTGTTGTGCTATTATTATATGTTTTGATTCTAATTGTTTGACTCAAAACAATCCACACATACAAAAATAGCTCAGTACTCAGTATATTGTGTACTCCTGTCAAATTCCAATATTTATAACAAATTGTACACGTATAACTAAACACAAGGTTTGGAATTCAATGTTCAGGCACACAAAAGGTGTCGGGTGATAAATATATACTCACTTCGTTTGGAGTTAACTTGAATGCTATGTTTGAAAAAAAGGCAAGTATGCTTTCTTGATCACAAACGTTGATGAGGAAGTCCAACCATTACCACTATTGTTATATAGCGCCCTCACTAGGCCAATTTACAGAGAGTGCTATCACAAATACTGTAGAATACTTTATTTTCGCTGAAGGGATGATTCCGTGAAAATAAAATCCAGCAAATATACTTTTTTTTCTATATTTCACATTAAACTCATCAAAACTCAGTGAAAATAAATTCCATACAAAACG